TTTGGGATGTAGGTTTCTTTTAAGGTGGGATCTGTCAGTGTTCCTGAGACAGAGTTCCTTAAAACGAGTTGCTTTTAGGGCTCTCTTTAGGGTGTTTGAGGGTGCAGGGTTTCTGGGTTAAATTAGGATTCACAGTTTAGGGCCTTAAGGTGTAAGGCTCAAGCCTTATTCTTGGTGCTGTAGGGCTTTTATACGATCCTTACGGGTTTAGAGTGGCAGGCATGTCTCAGGCCCTCTACAGGGCTCCATCCTTAAATACTAGACCCTAAACCCTACTACTTGGGACTTAGTAACCAGGGTTCTAAACCAGCTAACTAACTTTAGCTATCAATACTTGTACCCCTAACAAAGGGTACTTACAATCTTACTTACTAAGCCCCACGATCCTTCAAGTAAACCCGAAAACCCCAAAGCCAAAACCGCAAACAAGAAAACGCAAGCCTGAAACCGTCCGTGTGCGGAGGGTTCATAGGGTGCTGATACGGATCAGAGCCGACTTCGATTTGCGTCGATACTTCTTCTAGACAGCTTCTCTAAGAACCCAATCAGAAAATGAAGGAGATCCCAAATCTAAACCCTAAACCCCTAAACCCCTAAACCCCTAAACCCCTAAACCCTAAAAACCCCCTAAACCCCTAAACCCCCAAAATCCTAAACTCTAAACCCGAAGAACCCAATCAGCAAAACGATGGAATCCCACATCAAGACCTGGCCCAAGGCTCGGTTTGATGTAGGGGCCTTGATAAGTAGAATAGGGGTTCCTTTAAAGGGATCCTTAAAGGGTTCGAAAAGGGATCTATAATAGGTGGGTGCTATATTAGGGGCCCTAATAATCAGAATAGGGTTTGGGGCTCCTTTATAGTATAATTATAACAAGGAACCCTGAGAAATAATATTGGTAATTATTTAGGCTTCTATATTGGGTCTCCTTCGGTGTCCTTGAGGTGGGGTGTCGAGGGCTCGTTCTGAGGCTTTGGGTTTACTGTAGAGGTCTTAGGTTCTTTTGAGTTCGTTTAGGGTTTAGGTCTAGGGTTTAGGGTTTGAGCTTTAAGGTTTAGGGTTTGGGGCCTAGGGTTTAGGGTATAAGGTTTAGGGTTTAGGGCTTGGGTTCCGGTTTAGGATTTACACCCTCCCCCGCCGGACTTTGCATGTATGTGAAATTTCCCACGAGGGCTTCATGAGGATTCTGTGTCTGCTGGATTAATTAGGGTTTAGGGTTTAGGGTTCAGGGTTTAGGGTTTAGGGTTAAGACTTCAGGGTTTAGGGGTTTAGGGTTTTAATTAATAGGGTTTATCAGGGTTGAATAAGGGTTTAGGGTTTAGGGCTTCCCTTGCATCTTCAACAGGTCGTTGTGGACGTCTTTTTAGGTGTGTTGCTTCTCTCTCTGGTTTCTTGGCTTGGTGGGGCTCTTTCCCAGAATTCTGCAGGGCCGAAGCCAAAACGCTAAACCCTAAACCTTGAAACTTGAAACTCCCCAAACCCCAAAAATTAAACCTCGTGCTTTCACAGTGTGCAGCAAACCGTAAAACCCTAAACCCGAAACCCTTAACACCCTTAACACTAAAAGCCCTAAACCCTGACCTATCCCAAGACCCCCAAAACTCCTGCAAAATGAAAGAAGCGCTCATCTAAAACCTTACAATGCCTACAAAAACCTTCAACCACCCCCCCCCCCCCTGCCTCGCCC